GAGCCCTGTTACAGGGCCCCAGGACGGGCCAAGAGGTCCCCAAGAAGCCTCCAAGACGGTCCAAGAGGGCCCCGAGACGGCCAAAGATCGCCCGAAGACGCCCAACAGGGCCCCAAGACAGCCCAAGAGGCCTCCAAGACGCCCCAAGGGCCTTCCAAGAGGCCTCCGAAGAGGGCCCCAAGAGGCCAAAATCGTTGATTTTCATTGTTTTTTTATATGTTTTTTGCGTTCTGGCTTTTTCGGCTTCCGGACGCTCCAAGACGGCCCAAGAGGCCCCCAAGACCGCTCCAAGACGGCCCACGAGGCTCCCAAGACGGCCCCGGAACGGCCCAGGAGGGCCCCCAAGACGGCCCAAGTGCCGCCCAAGACGGACCAAGAGGCCCCAAGACGGGCCCAAGAGGGGCTCAAGAGGGGAACCGAGAACTGAAAAATCGAGCCCTCCGCCTCAGAAGGCGCCCAGGAGGCCCCAAAAAGGCCCCAAGAGGCCCCCAAGAGGCCCCCAAGACGCCCCAAGAGGCGCCCAAGAGGCCCAAAAGAGGCCCCCAAGAGGCCCCAAAACGGCCCCCAAGAGGCCCCAAAACTCGGCTAGCCCACAACGGTGCGACAATATGGGCCGGCGGAATGAGCGAAGCGATTAAATAAAACGATTCCCAATGTTTTCCCATATTTTCTCGGTTTTTGTCTTCCCCCCCCCCCACTCCCCATATTTTCCAATATTTTCCTGGGACTCGACGATTAATTGTGTCTTTGTGCTTTTTTCCTTCCTGAGAGCAGGAGGACAGCGTAAAGGCCAAGAGGAAAGCGAGGACACACAGGCGGAGTGCGATCAGGAAGACAAGCGCAAAGACGAAATGCAACCAACGAGGGGAGCAAGCACGATAATGTGAAGGGGCCCTTGGACACACACATACATACACACAAATAACACGATTCCCATATGTTTTTCCGTATTTTCTGGGTTTTTGTCTTCCCGCCCAATTCGCATATTTTCCTATATTTTCTGGGCATCGACGATTCATTGTGTCTGTGTGTTTTTCCCCTCCTCAATCGTGGATGAGAGGGGGGAGAGCGGGGGAGACGCGGCCATCGAGGAGGACGACGACGAAGACTGGAGGACCACTAGGAGGACGGGGAAGCCGAGAGGACCATGACAGCTAGGACAAGGTGGGAGGGGAGAGGGCGGGGAAGGACAAGAAGGACGGGGAGGACGCCTGGGAGTAAGACGAACTGAAAAACAGCGAGCAGGACAATGAGGAGGACAGCACGGGTGACGACAATGAGCGAGGAGGGTGACGAAGAGAAGAGGGACGAGGAACACACGGAGAACGATGGGGAATACGTGCGGCCCCTTGCTACAAGGCTACGATGAAGACTATGGAGAACCCGCCCCCGAGCCGCTGTCGGGCCCTACTCGGGAGCGTACAGCTTTTTTCGCGGGCCGTCTTGGTGCCCGTTTTGGGTCATCCGGGGGCTCCCTTGGGCCGTCATTGGGTCTCCCGGGGCGCTGTAAGGAGCCTATTGAATCGCTCTGAGCGCTTTTTGGGCTCCCGCGGTGGGCTTTTAAGAGCTCTGTCAGGCCATTTGGAATCATCTCAATAGACCCCAACAAGCATCCACGAAGGCCTTTTACCAGCATCGCCTCAGCGCTCCCTCTCTTCTCGCCGTGGGGGAATTCGTAAGACACGCGGATTTCGGTCTCTCTCCTTTGGTGTCCTGGTCTGTTCATTGCATACAGTTGACCGTGGCGCGGGCCCAAACCTGACCGTTTGAAAGACTTGCGGCGCTCCCATACTGAGTCGACAAAGATATCGTCTGCTTGAAGTGACTTAGCGTCGCTCGCTTGACACAAGGATCGCGTCTTCTGCGTCAAACATGTCCGACCCATCCCCGCGCTATTCGCATGATAAGATGTGAACAACTATAATCCAGGTGCCTGCGTTGCATCCGCAGTGCTCGCTTCCTTCTCCTGCGATGCGGTCGGGAGCTTTTGATTGGCGTGTCGCGGCGGCGGCCCCAGCGACACGCCATGCCCTGCGAGCTAGTAGCGTGTCGCTCCGCTCCGCGGGGCGTGAGGCTGCGACAGTCTCGGGACGTTGACGCTTGGGGACTGGGACAGTCTTCGCGCGTCGCGTCGAAGCGTGGGCCAGAACCGGCGAAGCGAAAGGCTCAGGAAACGTTCCTGATCAGTATCATCATCATCACCACCATCTCCATATCGTTCACACCTTGCGCTGGAGGCTTCTGTGTTCGCAATTCTCTCGCTTCCTCCTTCTTCCCGCACGCACGCTCTCCTCCTACTTTCTGCGCCGCCTCGTCTCCCCTCTTTTTTTCCGCGCGGGCTCGCTCTGGAGCTGCGTGGTTCACTTCGCCCAGATGATGTACTGCCTCGGAGGACACCACCCATACACGAACACCGATGCTGGCTAGACCCAATCTGGGCGCAGACGCCGTCCAGGCCCGGCCAGCAAGGCGTGATCCTGGGCCAAGGATGGGCCCAGCCAGTATCTGCGTCGGTGCGCAGTTGGCACTCTCAGACTAGTAGTAGAATAATAGCAATGCCAATCGTAATAAAAATGCTAGTAATGAGTATGATTCGAATAATACCACTACTACTACTACTACTGCTAGAACTGCTCTCACTCATAATAATAGCAATACTGAACATACTACTACGATCACTACCACTACCACTACCACTACCACTAAAACTACCACTACTACCACTACTACTACTACTACTACTACTACTACTACTACTACTGCTACCACTGCTACGACTACGACTACTACTACTACTACTACCACTACTACTACCACTACTACTACCACTACTACTACTACTACTACTACTACTACTACCACTACTACTACTACTACCACTGCTACTACCACTACTACTACCACCACTACTACTACTACTACTACTACTACTACTACTTCTACTACTACTACTACTAACTACTACCACTACTAGTACTACCAACTACCATCTAATCCACTCCACTACTACTACTCTACCACTACTACTACTACTACTACTACAACTACTACTACTATTTCTTACTACACTACTACTACTACTACTACTGACTAACTACTACTAACTACTACTACTACTTACGCGAGCGCCCGCGCAACCTAACTCTAACTCTAACTAGTACTAGTAGTAGTAGTAGTATAGGTAGTAGTAAGTAGTAGTAGTAGTAGTAGTCGTATACTACTACTACTACTACGACGACGACTACTACTAATACTAACACCACAACGCAACAACTACTACTGCTCCTACTGCTGCTGCTGCTACTACTACTACTACTACTACTATTTACTACTTACGACTTACTACTTACTACTTACTACTTACGATTTACTATTTACTACTTACTACTTACTACTTACTACTTACTACTACTACTACTACTACTACTACTACTACTACTACTACTACTACTACTACTACTACTACTACTACTACTACTACTTCTACTACTACTACTACTACTACTACTACTAGTAATACTACTACTACTACTACTACTACTACTACTACTACTACTACTACTACTACTACTAATACTATTACTACTACTACTACTACTACTACTACTACTACTACGACTACTACTACTCCTACTACTACTCCTACTACTATTACTACTACTACTACTACTACTACTACTACTACTACTACTACTACTACTACTACTGCTTACTACTACTACGGGTGCTACTATTACTACGACTACTACTACTACTACTACTACTACTACTACTACTACTACTACTACTACTACTACTACTACCATTACTAGTACTATTATTATTACTCGTAGCGAACTACTAACTACACCTACTACTACTACTAACCACTACCCTACCCTCCTACCACTTAACGGCGACGACGACGACGACGACGCTATGCAATACTACTACTTACTGCACTAACTACTACTACTACTACTACTACTACTACTTCTGCTACTACCACTGTTACTACTACTTCTACTACTACACTTCTACTATACTACTACTACGACTACTACTACTACTACTACTACTACTACTACTACTACTACTACTACTACTACTACTACTACTACTACTACTACTACTACTACTACTACTACTACTACTACTACTACTACTACTACCTACTACTACCTACTACCTACTACCTACTACCTACTACCTACTACCTACTACCTACTACCTACTACCTACTACCTACTACCTACTACTACTACTACTACTACTACTACTACTACTACTACTACTACTACTACTACTACTACTACTACTTACTAGTTACTAGTTACTACTTACTACTTACTACTTATTACTTACTACTTACTACTTACTACTTACTACTTACTACGTACTACTACTGCTACAACAACAACTACTACGACTACTGCTGCTACTGCTGCTGCTACTACTACTACTACTACTGCTGCTGCTGCTACTACTACTACTACTACTACTACTACACATCATACTCACCATACTACTAGTAATAGTAAAATTGGTTTCAGCAAGAAAACCACGAATGCAACGACTAATATTAATGGCAAAGATACTCACAACCATACCAACAACATACAAACAACAAAATCCGAAACACGTGCACCAACGCAGCTTTACGGAGGTCCGGGCAGGATCCTTGGATCGGCGCTGGACCTCACTCCCCGGCGCGCGGAGCGCGCCGAGGGCGTCGCTGGAGGCGCTGCAGCGAGGGCCACGCGGACCACACGTAGTTGCTTTTGCAAACTGTTCTCCCCCCTCGGCATCCACCGACTTGATCTTGACAACCCGCGACCGCAGAGGTCCCAGCCTTGGGGCCCGAAAGCGGCTCCCGAGGGCCGAACTCGAGGAAAAACCGCAGGTTGACAAAAAACACACACCTCGCTGGATATCTGGGTCCGAACTCTCCCGCCGCCTCTCGGAGCCGCTGTCCCGGGTCTCCACGCGGAACGCCTTCGGGCTCCCCTCGAGGAACATCTTCAGCAGCTCCTGCTGCTCCCGCGGCTTCCGCACGCCCATGGCGTCGGCGAACGCCGGCACGGACGCCAGCAGCTCCGCGGCGGGGCACGAGCGCTGTGCGGGGGGAGCCCAAAGCGGGCAGCAGCGGCACGGGCTCCCCCCCCCCCCGAGGAGGAGGAAGGAGGAGGGGGGGAGGGCTGGGGGGGGAGGGAGAGGGGGAGAGGTGGAGGGAGGGAGGGGAGGGGAGGACTGGGGGAGGGGAGGGAGGGGGGCCCGCAACCGTGTGCTGACGGATGTTGGACCGATCTGTCGCTCGCAGCAAGCGCGAGGGCCCGGCCGCGTGCCGCCCGCCCTCGGCCCCCCCCGGGGCTGCGGTCTGTCGCGCAACACCGCCAGGAACTTGGCGTGCCACTCGCCGAGCTGGCCGTTCCCGGCCTCCACCTCCACGGGGCAACACGAGAAGCCAGCCTTGATTCATGTGCACCCCTCCCCCTCCTCCCCCTCCTCCCCCTCCTCCTCCTCCACCTCCTCCTCCTCCTCCTCCTCCTCCTACTCCTCCTGCTCCTCCTCCTCCTCCTTCTCCTCGATCCTCCTCCTCCTCGACTTCTTCCAAGCTTGGTGGCTCAAGGTGGAGGAGCCCCTCGAGTTCTCCCTTGTCGTGGGTGGAGCGGCCGAGTGTCGGGGTGGATCTCTCCCTGGCATGCCGCTCGCCGAGCTGACCGCTCTCGGCGCCCACCTGCAGGCCACCTCTGCCAGGTGCTAATGGGCGGGGGGGTCGCCAAAGGTGGGGCGAAGGAGCGCGCGCCTTCGGCGTGCCTTTTTTTGGGCCCGCAGTGGCAGTCTGGGTCAGTTCGGGGCCCCCTGAGGGCCTCTCTCCTGCAGTCCTCCATGCCCCCGCGTGGCCGTCCGCCCGTTTTCTTCTGGGCGGGGAGGAGCGAGGCGCCGCCGGCAAGTCCGAAGCGTTGTCCCAGACTGCCCTCCGTATCGCGCAGCGGGGAGATATACCCTCCGCCTGCAGCGGCAAGTTCGAGCAGAGATGGGCGACGAGGAGGAGGGGAGGAGGAGGGGGAGGAGGATGAGGAGGAGGCGGAGGAGGAGGACGGGGTGGAGGCGGAGTTTGGTGGCCCCACTCAAGGAGAGGCGAGACAAGCTGAGTCCCAGCTCCCCCCCCAGGGGGGCTGGGACCCACGCTCGGTCTCCATGCGCACGCGCATGCCTGCCGCCACAGTCGGCCTCCCCTCCCTGCTCCCCCCCTTTGACGTCGATCCTCGTGTTCACCGTTCGGTCGTTCCCTACTTCTCTCTCTTGCCTCCTCCTTTTTGCTTGACCTCCTCCTGGCGCCACCGGGAGGAAGGCTCCGAGGACTCCGCTTCCGTCTCGCGCACTGGAATACACCCTCCCTCCAAGCTTCCTCTTCGCAGGCCCCTAGAAGGATTCCTTTCCAATGAAGGAAGTGACCCGTCGGGGGACAGCCGTACGAAAATCCTGAAGAGTGCCAAAACACCATTCTCAGGACATTAACGCCACGAATCAACCTGACCGTTGCGTGTCGACGATTCTGAATCATGCCAGAACGCCATTCCGCTCCTGGGACTTCAACACCTGCGAATCAACGTAACTGCTGCGCCCTGGTAACCCTGAGTCGCTCCAACACATCATTTCTGGTACGTTAACCACGATCCGGTTGACCCGCGCAATAGTGTAAAACGAACGCACGCGGCGCTACGGCGAGAACCACGTTTTGAAAAGGAGCCGCCATCAATCCGATAATCTCTTACATTTAATCAAACGATTGTGCGCGGCGCTGAGGCAAGAACAACTCTTGCACATGTTTGGTGCGAATGTGCGCGGCGCTAAACGATAACCACATTTTGAACATCAGCCGCCCTCAAGCCGTGAATCTCTTGCATTTTCTACAGAAAAACGAATGTGCGTGGCGCTAAGGCGATAATCACATTTCGACATTCACCCGCTCTCAAAGCGTGAAACTCTTGCAACTTGTTCAAACGAACGTGCGTGGAAACGAACACCACATGTTGAAAACCACCGGTCCTCAATCCGTGAAGCTCTTGATCTTGTTCAAGCGAATGTGCGCGGCGTTACGGCGAGAGACACATTTTGAAAACGACCCACCATGTATGTGTGAAGCGGCTGCCAATTTTTCAGCTTCAAGCTCACAAATGGGGAGGTCTCAGGCGAAACGCCTGGCCCACCCTTCCGACTGGCCTCGGGGTGCGACACGGAGGAATTATTCAGAAGGAAAAGGAATGGAGGAGGAGGAGGAGGAGGAGGAGGAGGAGGAGGAGGAGGAGGAGGAGGAGGCGGAGGACGAGGAGGACGAGGAGGAGGATGAGGAAGAGAGGAGGTGGTAGAGCTTCGATGATCGAGGTTCTCAAATGTTTACCTTCCTCTCCTGCAGCTCTGGAAGGCGTCTTGCTCGAAGGCATTCTAGCCAGAGCGCACCGCTGGGAGGGGGATGAGGGGGATGAGGAGGAGGAAGAGGAGGACGAGGAGGTTTATATAGAAGGGGGAGAAGGAAGAGGAGGAGGAGGACGAGGAGGAAGAGAAGGAGGAGGAAGAGGAGGAGGAGGAGGGGGAGGAGGAGGAGGAGGAGGAGGAGGAGGAGGAGGGGGAGGAGGAGGAGGAGGAGGAGGAGGAGGAGGGGGAGGAGGAGGAGGAGGAGAGGAGGACCATACCTAGCGATGAGGCCTTCCCGTCCCAAGTCCACTCCCGACAAACCCCTGCGAGCATTTCCTGTTTGCTGCGGAGAGCGCTGCCTTGAACGACGTGCGCACCATGGGCCTGTCACTCAAGCGGGGACAACGTTCTGGAAACGAGCTGCTCTCTATCCTTCTAGCTGTACGGGGTGCCATTAGGTAGGATCACTAGTCGCGAGCGCTTGGGTTTTAACTCGGCGAGGCACTCGACACCATCACAACTTTACATTTCTACAGGTCTATGCACGGGTTGAACACAAGGTGCGATGAACAAAAGGTGCGACGCCGCTTGGAAGGACCCCCTTGATATTATATTCCCTCTCTCTTCATCCTTCTCGTCCAGGACTGTACTTCGGCCGCAGCATGGAGGAGGTAGGATCATACATTTCCGAGGGGGTATGAGGCGGATCGTGGGGGCAGGGGGGAGGTGGGGAGGGAGGAATCATGAAGCTATTTTTTGCGATCCCCCCGGTGGCTCACCGTTGCTCACCGAGGTCCCGGCACTGTGTCCCGGCACTAGAGCCTTAGGAATTCTGTAGGGTGAGGTGACCCTGTAGGATCCCTGGGTGTGCCTACAGCCTGTGAGCCTTGCGTGTCTGCGAACTGGCAAGCGCAGCAGCACTCTCCTCGGTCGAGAGCTGGACGGCAAGTCCCTCCCCCAGTCTGGCCTCCGCTTGCGAGCTGGTGCCCGGCCCGGCCGCCCCTTCGCTTCGCCCTCCCGGCGCCTCCGAGCTGCTCCGCGCGGCCGCGCTGTACTGGTAGGTGAAGGGCTTGGCCTCGCCAGGGGCGGCCTTCTGGATCACGTTCTGGTAGGCCGGGAGCCTCTGGCCCGCCCCTCCTCGTCCTTCTCGCCTCCCTCTGTTCTCCCCCTCCCTCACCCCTCTTCCTCTCCGCCCCCCTCCTACCCCTCTGTACCCTCCCTATCCCCCTCTCATCATTCCCCTCCCCTTCCCCTCTGCGCAAGAGGCCATGGTGGCGAAGAGCGACAGGGAGGGAGGGAGGACGAAGAGGACGAGAATGGGGGAGCCCACCCTTGGGTATTTGGCGCGCCATGTTCGTGACCACCTTAGCCGCCCCGATACGCAACACGCAACACGTAGCGTATTGAGACGGAGCTCAAGACGTATCCTGAATACGTGGGTCCGACACGATACATTCGCCAAAACGTGGTCCTATACGTGGAGCCGACACGCAATGCACTGGCACGGACGCCTCGAGTACGGTGCGTGTCGCGTATCAGAACGTGCGCGTCGAGGCAGCTGAGGTGACCACTCCTCCTGAGGCGAGAGCGGCCCCAGAAAGGATGAGCAGCGCGGGGGGGGGGCGGCCGGGAGCGCCCCCGGACCACCCAACCCTGCGCTCCGCGCCGCACCCCTGGAGACCGCACGGCCCTGCGGCCCCGGCCCGCGACGCGCGAGCCGCGGGCGTCTCCGCGCCAACTGCGGCTGATCCCGCGGCCCGCGCCCGCTCCTCTCCGAGCACGCGAAACATCGGAACTCCACACACCACCAAACAAACAACCATGTGAACATATAGCAAAAGAAGTAAACACATGGTTAAAAAGAACATACGATCAGTCCATGGTCTTGTTCCAGTGCCCCCCCCCACGTCTCCCCCCCGGGCCCACGTCGGCGCCCGCCCTGGGGGTGCGCTGCTCCTGGGCACCCGCCGCCGCCATCTTCGTCGGCGCCGCCGGCATCCGCTCCACTGCTGAGCCTGGGCTGGTCGGCGGTGCCGCCCCGCGCCCCGTTCTTCCCGGCCGCTTTCTCCACCACCTTCTTCAGGCCGACGTACATCTCGTTCTCCGAGGTGCGGAGCAGAGCGAAGGCGCTCTCGTGCTCCTTGAGCCACGCCTCGGGGGCCCGCCCCGAGGACTCTCAGAGGTGGGAAAGGGCACGAGAAACACAAACGAGTAGAGAAACAGAGAGAGAGAGAGAAAAAAAAAGTCAATCAAACAAACGAGCAAACAAACAAGAAGGAGGAGGAGGAGGAGGAGGAGGAGCCAGCATGCCGAAGGGGAGGGGGAGGAGGCGGAGGGAGGAGAAGGGGGGATGGGTAGAGAGAGAGAGAGAGGAGGATGAGGACGGGGATGATGCGTACCATCTCATTTTGCATTGGTTCGGGAGGAGGGGAGGGTACAGAGGAGGAGAAAGAGGAGGGTGATGATGAACCATAGTTGTACTATGAGGTAATGACTGGGAGAAAGGATAAGGAGGGGGATGATGAGTCGTATTTTCCACGCATCCACAGTTGGGTTCTTGTTTCCTCTCGACACCCCGCGCTGACCGCACCCCACACCCCCTGGGCTCTTCAATACCATCACACCATCATTATCAACATCATAGCATCGTCATCATCACCATCGTCGTCATGATCGCACTCACACTCATCACCCTCGATCTTTCACCATCGCACCACCATCATCATCGCACACACTCGCCACATACTCACTCATCCACACGCCACCACCACCACCATCACCATCACCATCGCCACCACAACCAACACCATCACCATCATCACCACCATCATCATCATCAGCAAACTTATCATTATCCTCCTCATCATTATCAGCATGATGATCACCATGCTGATCAGCATGATGATCATGTTCATGATCATGATGATCACCATCATCGTCATGAACAACATCAGCACCAACACCAACAACAACAACATTACCACACACGTGCTCACACACATTCATGTACACTCACACACTCACACATTCATCGTAAGAGAGTCTCGAGCGGGAGCCTCGTCTGTGACTGAAGTGTGAGGAAGTGTCAGGCGCAAACTCCCTCCCTATGGGGCCGCCAGATCGTGAGCTGGTCATTCACATCTTGTAACTGCCCTCACTTTGGGCCACAGAGGCGTGGATCTAGAGGAAGTCTCGAGCGGGAGCCTCGTCTGTGACTGAATTGTGAAGAATCTCAACTGGGACCTCCCGCCCTATAGGGCCACCGCAACGTGTTGGTCATTTGAGTCCGTCGTCCAAATCATGCAGCCATTGTCACTTTAGGGCTCCTGAGGCGTGAATCTGGAGGAATTCTCGAGCGGAAGCCTCGTCTGAGACTGAAGTGGGAGCTTCCTCCCTATGGGGCCGCCAGATCATGTTAGTAATCCAAGCGGGTCACTGAAACCCTGTATCTATCGTCACTTTTGGGCTCCTGAGGCGTGAATCTGGTGGAAGTCTCGAGCGGGAGCATCTTCTGTCAGCTGATGTCAGCTGATTGTGAGGAAGTCTCAGGCGGGAGCTTCCTCCCGATGGGGCCGCCAGATCATGTTAGGAATTCGAGCGGGTCATCCAAATCATCTACCTGTTGTCACTTTTGGGCTCCTGCAGCGTGGATCTAGAGGAAGTCTCGAGCGGGAGCCTCGTCTGTGACTGAATTGTGAAGTGATCTCAGGAGGGAGCCCCTTTCCCATGGGGTCGCCAGATCATGTCAGTAATCCGAGCGGGTCATCCAAATTATGAAACTGTTTTCTCTTTTGGGCTCCTGAGTCGTGCATCTGAAGGATGTTTCGAGCGGAAGCCTCGTCTGTTACTGAATTGTGAGGAAGTCTCAAGCGGGAGCTCCCTCCCTATGGGGCCGCCGCATCATGTTAGTAATCCAAGGGGGTCACTGAAACCCTGTAACTGTCGTCACTTTTGGGCTCCTGAGGCGTGTATCTGGTGGAAGTCTCGAGCGGGAGCCTCCTCTCTGGGTGTGTATGGTGAAGACGTCTCGAGCAGGAGCCCACCCCCCGATGAGGTCCGCAGATCATATTACGAATCCGAGAGGTCATCTGAACCATGTAATTGTTTTAACTTCTGAGCTCCCGATGCCTGAATCTGCAGGGAGTCTCGAGCGGTAGCCTCGTCTCCGAGTGAATGGTGCGGAAGTCTCGATCGGGAGCCCCTCCAGTGGGGCCCGCAGATCATGTCACTAACTCAAGCGGGTCACCTTGATCATGTAACTGTCGTCGCTGTTGGGCTTCGCAAGCTTGAACATGCAGGACGTCTCGAGCGGGGTCCTCGTCTCTGAACGAATGGTAATGGAGTCTCAAGCGGGGATCTTTCCGTTTGAGCCCAGATCCCGCAAATCATTTTACTAATCCGAACGGGTCAGCTCGAGGAGAAGACGGCACGTGAAAACGTGCGCAAATGCAAACATGCCTTGAAGAGTTGTACGGAAGTCTCTGGTGGGAGCCCCTTCCTTATGAGGACTCACAAAATCGGGCCAGCCAGTTCGATGGGCGGGCTACTTGCACACCTCGGGTCGCTGCCTTCGCGAGGGAGGGGAGGCTGCTCGGAGGAGGGAGGAGGGAGGAGGAGGAGGACGAGGAGGAGGGAAGGAAGGAGTAGATGCGGCGCGGTGGCAGAAAGAGGCGCGAGGCTGGCGCCGTTCTGCGGCTCCCGGCTGCCTTGTTCAGGGCCTGCATGGGCTTCGGCCTTTGCGCGGCCATCACCTGGCGGATGAACTTGTTGTTATTCACCTCGCTGCACAGGAGGGGGAGGGTTCGGACGAGTTCCTCTCGGTCGCTGTCTTCGCCTGCCTCCCCCCTCCACAGGTGGATGCGCTTTCGACCGATCGATCAACGTCAACGGTGATCTGCCGATCGATGATGAGCGCCTCGTTGATGTGCGCGATGCCGTCGTCGTGGCGCTTCAGGAAGTCCACCAACGCTGCCTTTGAGGGAGGCAGACGTCGCTCCCGCTGCCATCCCGGGGGATTCCTCCTCCTCCTCCTCCTCCTCCTCCTCATCCTCCTCCACAATCTCGGCCCCTCCTCCTCCTCCTACTCCTCCTCCTCCTCCTCCTCCTCTTCTTCCTCCATCACCTCCTCCTCCTCCTCCTCTTCGTCCTCCCCCCCTTCCTCTTCTCTGTCCTCCTCCTCCCTCCTTCCTCTTTCCTTCCTTCCTCCCCTTGTCCTCTTCTCATTACCTCTCGCTCTTTTCATCCTCCTTCCCAGCGCAACCGTCCGTCGGCCAGGGCGGTCCAGATGGGGTGACGTCGGTTTGATTTCTCATCGAAACGTGTGAGGGGAAGTGCAGCAAAGAGGGTCGTGAGGGAGGATGAGGGCGAGGTGGGGGGAGCAGGAAGAGAAGACTGGCAGGAAGAGGAGGAGGAGGACGATGAGGCCAGCGTGCCGCTGTAGGAGGCGCAGGCTGAGAAGGGCGAGGATGAGGAGGAGCAATGACGACCAGGAGGCAGTTGAGGGGGATGAGGCTCAAGAGAAGAAGAAGAGCAGGACGATGGTGAAGTAGGAGGGACGAAGGGTTATAATGAAATTGCACAAAAAGATAAGATGGATGAGAAAAGAAATCGGCGAACACGAATACGGAAGAAGAGGGACACGCGATCCGAAAAGCACACAGCGGGGTCCCGCTCCCTGAGCCTCCCCGCGGCTGCGGGAGTCCCCAAGCCCGACCCCGCCCAGAGCAACTCGGGCCCTCCTTAGCAGACTAGCAGGACACCGGCCCGAAAACCAGCCCCGATCTCGGAGCCCCGAGAAGCCTTCGGAAGATAGGCGGGCAATCCTGAGCCGTGGCAGCGGTTCTCCTCGCGCACGGGCGCGTCCCTCACTCGGGCGCGCGCTGGGATCTGTGGATCTGGCACGTGGGCGTCAGGTCCACGGATCGGGGAAGGCCCCATCCCCGAGACAAGAAGCCAATGCAACCCGATCCGTCGATGGAGCGCGCCGGATCTGGACGGGAACGGGATCTGTCGCTTATCCGCGCGCCTTCATCCGTGTTCGCGTGTCCTCAGCTCATGAGGATACCCCTCGGCGGGAGTTCCCTGGCACGATTTGAAGCTCCCCCTTCGAACACCAGCACGTCCTGTAACATACGGACTCGTCACAAAGCCTTGCTGCGGCTGGCGCGTCGGACACTTTGGTGTTCCTCTCCTGCTCCAGAAGGCAGGCGAGGAGGAGGAGGAGGAGGAGGAAGAGAAGGAAGAGGAGAAGGAGGAGGAGGAAGTGGAGGAGGAAGAGGAGGAAGAAGAGGAGGAGGATGAAACCGTTGCCCGCTCGGGGTGGGGCGGGCGGGGCCTAGCCAGAGCATGCCTGACTCAGTACACACAGACACCGACCTTGCAGTTCTTGTTGCTGCTGGGGGCACCACACTTGGCAAGGTCATCAGGAATCGCCGTCTCATGCGCTTCGCTTCGCTGTTGGGGCTGCCCCGACGGACAGCATTGTATCTCGTACTTGGTCAATTGTTTGCCGAGGCAGACTCATGGAAAATACTTGCCACGTCTGATTTTGCATGGCTAGCTTGCCGAGATGGTTCAGACACATCAGTGATTGAGTGATCACCTTCTCGTTGGATTGCTGTCGAGGCCAGCAACCAGCGCGACTTCAAGAACACGTCCGAGCGGGTTTGGCACGACTGGCTGCATATCTCGATGGGCACTTTAGCTAATCAGGTGACTCGCGCGAGGGCAACGGCGAACATGGCGACTGCACAACGCGAGCTTATCTGCCAGACGTGTTTCCTGTGCTACCAGTGCGGTGAGACACTTGCGACTCCAGCGGCATGGAAACGTCGTCAACTACAACGCCGTTCACGGATGATCCTCAGGCCGAAGCTCGAGGTGTTCGGTGCAATGTGTGCGGAACCACGTTTGTCAATCGATCATAACTTGTCAAGCGCCTTCGGAGTGTCGGCAACTGCTGTGTCGACTGGCCCAATCTTGATAGCACGCCGATGGTGCCATAAGAGGCCGCCGTCTTTCGATTGCAAGACCTGGCTCAAGAACGATATAACACATATCGAAGATATGAAGACCAGAGAAGGACCCCAATCATCATCTTTTGAGGGCTATAGGGCTATGGGTCCATAGGGCTATGGGACCGTAGGGCTACATGTCTACAGGGCTGTAGGGCTATAGGCATATAGCGCTATAGGGCTATATAGGGCTATAGAACTATGAGGCTATAGGGCTAAAGGACAATAGGGCTGTAGGGCTATAGGGCGATTGTGTAATAGGGCTATAGGGCTATAGGGCGATAGAGCACCCAAGCACCCGGGCACCCTCGGGTACTCTCGGGCACCCCCGGGCACCTCCGGGCACCCCGGGCACCTCCGGGCACCCCTGGGCACCCGGGCACCCCCAAGCCCCCGGGCTGGCCACCGAAATCGGCGACGAACCTCACCTAACCATATGAATCCGCTAGGACCCCTACAGAGGCAAACTCTGATTGGGAATGACGCTGGGGAGCGGTATCAACCACATCGGAAATATAACATACATAAGGGTGTTTTGAGCACGTGGTATATGAAACAACACTTCTTACCGGTCGGGGTCGTCTTTTGTTACTTGTCACGCCACCTGCTGCACAAGGGGAAAATGTTCCAAAGACGCTTCCACCGACGCGGGACACACGTTCACCATCTATAGTCTCGTTTGTTCAATACAATTTTGGCGGAGGCAATGATGAACATCTTGGATCATGGATATCGGCTCTGATGGATGGGACAGCTTTGCTTGAATGGCACCCACATCGAGCTCCCAAGATATATGACGATGGCTAACCTGATGTTACTCGGCTTTCGCTTGGCCAAATAGAGGTCGATCAGGGTGCGCCAAGGATGCTTGCAGGGAATCGTTTGGCTACCATTCTTGAACGAGTTCTCAGATATTGGAATCCTATTCGTGCGTTGGCAATGAATCGTGCTGGACATGTTCGAAGTGATCAACTACGGCTCTTGCAAAAACGTTTCGGCATTGAGAAGCCCACGTGGCATTACCGACGAGAATTCTTGGACAATGCTCAAGAAAGCCGCTCGAATGTTGGAAGATTGCGTGCGTGTAGTTTCTATTGCTGTCGCTTGACTTGCTGGAGTTTCGATTTGCTCTCTGCTTGCCTGGTGGAACGTCTTCGCAATGCGAAACATGGCTACCTTGGTTCGACGTGTCTTCTCGCTCATGGCTCCGCGGACTGACCGATGTATGTTCGGCGGGAACCACACGCACGAGCGGGTGATTATGGGCGTGCGCGCGGTCATGGATGCCGAAGAGGATCAACTGCCGGGGAGGAGGAAGAGGAGGAGGAGAAGGAGGAGGAGGAGGAGGAGGGGGAGGAGGAGGGGAAGGAGGAGGAGGAGGATGAGGATGAGGAGGAGGAGGAGGAGGACGAGGAGGAGGAGGAGGAGGATGAGGTGGAGGTGGAGGAGGAGGAGGACAGGACAGGACAGGACAGGACAGGACATCCGCGTGAGGGGGTCAACGTCAATGCGACCGCTAAGGTGCAGTGTAGAGCGTCTGCGTAATTCCCCTGCGTGAGTGTTATGCAGCAAGGAGTCGACAGCCCTTCGACGTCCTATCGAGCGAACTGCCAAGGCCTGCGCAAAGGCGTGCACGCTGCCCTCCTCGCCCCAAGCCCTCACCGCCCTCCCCCGCCGCGGGCGAGCGCGCGGCCCGTTCGCAGGGGGCACCTTTGCTGTCCGATGAAACCCAGGGGTGCGGCGCCTCTGGCACTGCGCTGCCAATGGCGCGTGCGAGCGGGCCTGCGCATGAAGGAGGGTTCCCGGGCCCCCTCTTTAATTCGCGAGCCATATTCCTCTCTGCAACCTACGGAGAAGCCCTCGCTAGCGCGATCGATCCCTGCGCCAAGACAGATGCGTTCCCCCGCGCCGAGCGCGCTCAGGAATGCGCGACCCGTGCTCCTGTTTACTTCACCTCGCGCCGGCTCGCCTGTCACATCGCCTTATCGTCTTTTGCAAGGTCACGCTCGCTAGCTCAGGAATTCGGGGAAGACGTGCGGCGCATGCTGAAGATTCCCGCGGCATCTCCGTCCGAAGAAATTGGTGGCTGCGTGTGTGTGGTTGTCTTCGACTTAGGTATGCAAAGTGGTTCGCGCTTTAATCTTCGCGTGGCGGCAATTGCGTGCTTGTCTCCCAACCTGGCAAGAACTCCGATATTTTCTGATCCCGATAAAGCCTATTCACCTTCTGGCAAGGTGCGGACTGCGTCGCTGTTGGCTAATTGGTGCCGTAATTCACCAGCACATAAATAACGACCAGAACTGTTCCACATAATGTCAGAGATGCCGTCCAAAACTCGTCCGTTGCGCCTCCGCGTCCGCTCTTCGATGACAAACCCTTAAGCAAATGCGTCTTTAACCGCTAAGAGGTCATAGGGAGCCTCCATTGGGAAATTTTGCCGGGCCCTTTGCCTCAATTTTCTACTCCTTCTCCACCTCCTCCGCGCGTGCGCAATCCCTATGCGAAGGACAACTTCCAATAATTCAACGCATTCTCCAATGGACGCCCCCCCTTCCGCGCGCTGTCTTTGCAAGACGCCGTTGCTTTGATGATTCCTTCGTGTCTCGCTGTAAAACTGAAGAACCCCAGAAGCGTTGCGATCTCAGGGCCATCGTTGCGGAGCATGAGTTTTCGAAGGTCGTCATCGGCAAAAGTCGGTGGCCTCTGAACCTGGGGGCTTCCATCGTCCCAGACCTCCTTCGCTTTCCTGCGAACGTGCGAGTCGATCTCCCGGGGCAACATGTCCGAATAATTGGGTTGGCATCCATATTCCCAGACCTCCCTCTCGTCCGTCCCGCCGCGGGAATCGTGGTTTTCGAACTAGATCCAACTTCATCCTCCGGCGAACAAGTGAATGCAAAGCCGGGCCGATCGGGTTCCATTGATGCGGTTGTGCTTCGATCTCCTGGGGCAACATGTC